ATCCAGTACATTATAGAACACATACCATCATCACTTGAACTACCTGACAATAAATGTGGTCGTACTGGATTTCTTATTGCAGTGTACTTTAATCAGTTAGAAGTTGTTAAATATCTTATTAGTAAGAAGTGTAATGTATCAGCTACTGATGATGAAGGGTCTGGAGCAGTTCACATTTCAGTAGAGAGGGGTCACTTGAATGTATTGAAGTATCTCATTGATAATAATTATTGTAATCCTAATGCAACAAATCATCAAGGTCGTACACCACTTCACTTAGCTGTAGCAGCTGATCAATTTGAAACAATCAAATATTTAATGTGTGAGAGCATAAGTTCTCTTAGTACAGTTTGGCTACGTGAGATTAAGTATTCATTAGATGGGCCACACATCATCAACACATCAGATGGCTTACCAGTAGATGTTACTGCAAAAGATAAAGATGGCATTACTTGCTTACACTTAATAGCAGAAAAGGGAAACATTAAAACATATGAATATCTGAAGTATTATTACAAGTCATTTCCAAGAGACAATTTTGGACGTTCTCCTCTTCATTACTCCTGCCTCTCCAACAAGTATGATATGGCAATGCATCTTGTTAAAAGTTGTCACTATGATCCTGATGATACTGATAAGAATGGTTATAATTCAGTTCATGCAGCATGCAAAGTTGGTAATTTTGGACTGGTTCTATATTTCCTCACAGAGCATGGTTGTAACCCACATGCTGAGACTAAAGATGGACAAACTCTTCTTTATTTTGCAATCAAGAGCTCTAATTCTGAACTTATTCAGTTTTAAAGCAAGTTATTGGATTAAGACCATGTTGGCATGAAATAGAAGCAGATGAATCTGTCAGGTCTGAATTTAGATCAAATCCAGAAAGCAAAAATCAAAACATAATGTCAGAGAGGGAAGCTAAGTATGGAGATAAGTGTTTGCTATTTTAATGGCACTTGGTACAACCTTGGTCAAGGACAAATACCATTTACTTGAACACAGTTTAGTGTAATTATACTAATTACATAATTCACTATTCTCACAAAAATACCACTATCTTAAATCATCATTCAATACAATGTGTATCACCCTCTTATCACCATCATAAACTTGTACTACATTATCACCATTATCCACCTTGGCACCCCAATTGTTTTATTGTCACAATTGTCATCTTATCATTACCATGTACACCAAAGACATGCAATATATCGATTACCATTGTACCACCATATTACCATTGTAACTGTAACCACCTTACCAGTTATCACCATTACACCATATACCCACACGTACACCCTAATAGTTATCAATACCACCAATCCTTCTTCTTTAATATTATTATTCATTAATATGTATCACTGGAGCTACTCTTTGCTTTCTTTTGTTACTCTTCTCTTTCTTCCTTAATTAATAAATTGTTTTATTATAGCATGCAAACATGTACCTTTATTTTGTACTTACTCTTAATTGTTATTATTATTATTATTGTTATTGTTGACATTATCTTGACATACTTATAACAATACAGATGTGTATTAGCATTGAGTTTTACCCTCTACATACAATTATACATCGCACATGGGTGAAATCAATTATGGGAACGACCTGGGATGAACCCCCAGGTTGTAAAAAGGCAAAGAGAATAGTCTATGGTTTTTTTGCAAATGGCTCCAAAATCATCCCAATTCATATTACATATTCTGTTGCATATTGTTACAACATATTGTAGAGCTCAATCTGGGCAAGTAACTGGTATAATAGTCATGGATGATCTACATTGTGCTGGTAATGAATAATTGATTAGATCTATTTGGATGTAATTGATGCACATGGTGTCTGTTGTGAATTTGGATACTGGTAAGCTATAGTTGTCTCAATCCTTATGCACATTGCTATGGACTTACTCCACTTCTAATATTGATGGATGATGTACAGTGTACTGGTAGAGAGGCACAGATCACTCATTGTCCCAGTACTCCTATTGGTGAACACAACTGCATTACTGCAATCTCGGTGAAGATGTTAGTATTCCCTGCTCATGAATTGAACACTGTAGTTTAATAAGATCATTCCCCTTCCTTTAATAGAACAAACAAATTAGATTTTATAGTTGTTAGACTAAAAAACTTTTGTTTATATGTGTACATTATAGTTGATTTTGATATTTTAGTGATCACCCATATAGAAAAATGAGGTTGCAGCATAGTTGTGGCAACAGTTGTTGTCACAAGGTGGCCACAAGGCCCACAACCTTGTAAAAATCCTGGAATTGAAATGTTTTTTTACCTTGTGAATTCGTAGCAACCTTGTCACAATCTACAATGAATTTAATATAAAACTATCATTTGAAAGACTATCAACACATAATGAATATTGCCATCCTAATCCAATATAGTTTCAATTGATTTCTAGATACTTGATGTATCTATAATACTGTAAGTGCTGGTCAATGATCCCTTTGTAGCAATAGCTTCATATCATAATGGGGCACATTTAATGAAACCTCAGTTTCCTGTCAACCTTTGGACAACCTTGTCACAAGGTTGTTATGTTTCTTACAATTTAGTCACAACTTTAGCACTTTTATACAAGATTGTTACTAGGTTGCTACAACCTTGTGAGTTTGTGAACTGGTTATAACAACTTTGGAATTCCAGTTATACAATGACATACAGTAGATATCACTAAATGAGAATAGAAAGTGAATGAAAGTGACTTAAGTACACACTATTGATGATATAGTCAAAACTTGAAATTAAAACCAAATTAAGCAATTAATTAATGCAAGTGACTTTCAGTAAACTATAGATATAGCTCTACTTTATTTGTGTACAAAAAGAGACCATTTGATGCATTACATAACATTCAAAGTTTGGCAAAAAACTTTTCCCAAAAATTGTTGAAAATATTCCAATCTAATTGCAACTTCAAAGCTAGTGACAGAATTACCAGATGGTAAAGCATTAGCCCTGAATGTGCCCTGATTACTATAATCAGGAAATAGGTGGTTTGCAGCAGTATAACTGCTTATAAACCAATACTAATTAAACTAGATAGTAATTGCTTAGCCACATTTTTCCTGGAGTCACAAACAACCCAAGTTACATAATGAAGTTGTGATGTTTACTCCCTTCACTGTGCTATCAGCTGCTAACGCGCAGTATTGGCGCAACAGTTGACAGTATTATAATTATACTATAAGTTAAAAAAGAAGGAAGAAGAGAGGGAGAATGTCCAGGACAATCAATACATGAGGGAGAGAGCACGAGAGAGAACTGACTGAACAATAGAACAGATAACAACAGAACAAAAGAACTCTCTAACATTCTAAATATAGTAACAGAACACATGTTCACCACTCATTCTCATAACTAATCATAACTAACATAATCACTAATAACTAATAATAACAATAGTAATAATAATAATAATAATATCTCTCAATTCTTAGTATTAACAACAATGATAATCAGGCCCACTGAGAGGGGGGGGAGAAGGGGATAAATCCCCTGGGCCCCTCACTTCAGGGGGCCCCATAATAATGTACATTATAATTAAAGTATAATAAGTCATCATTACATAATTAAATATGTGCCTTTCTGGCTTTTAAACACATCAAAATGATGTATGATATTATCAAAATTTAGCTGTTCTGCAAGTTTGCTTTCAATTGCTAGTGTTCCTAAGTCACTCAACTGATTTTTGGTCATATTTGAGCATTGGTAGTTCTTGTGGTTTAATTTGTAATTTTTTAAAAATTATTGCAACGGGCCCCTAATTTTAATCTTCCCCTGGGCCCCATGTCTTCTCTCAGCGGGCCTGATGATAATAATGATAATAATAATAACAATAACAATAATAATAACAACAATAATAACACTAACAATAATAATAACAATAATAATTCATGTATGCAAATACAGTCACTACAGAAATCACTACTTGATATTGTCTAGGCACTCTGGTAGTGATCATTTGAAGCTTGTTAGTCAAGCTATCCTAACAAATGTAGGAGAAAATATGATATCAGGAGTGAATTTATCTGTTTAAGGAAGTAACAGTAATGTTTTCTAATTGAGATTTATGTAACATGGGTATGTTACTGGCACTATATGCATATTAGGGACTTGTCAACATAAATCATAATTATAAAAATTGTAATTTTAACAGTTTTTAATGTGCTGCCTACAAGTTAAACTGTAAACTAGGCAACTGTCATTAATTTTAAGTTTAATGGAACCAAGTTATTGTTTATGATATTAACTCTTGTCATTGAATTTGCATTTACATGGATGGCTTGATTAGTTTAGCATGTAGTAATAAGCTACTGACTTCATGTGAACACATTGTCCACATGCACAAATGTTTTCCCACAAAATATAATAAATCAGAAATAATTAATTTTTTTTCCTCCTGTACCAAAATTATCTCATGTACATGTATGCACCTATATGGATGCAACCTACTACATAATGTCACTAATTGAGCAACTACCAATTCTTACAGCATACATGGCTGGTAGGAAGTATTAGATCTATATTTTGACATGCTAAAAATTTTACTCAATAATCGTAGCTACTTTAAAAAAACAATTAGTAAATAAATTTAGTTACTAGTGATTAAATTGTATCCCTCTTTGTGCGTGCTGTTAATGTCAATCATTCACCAGCCCAATAAAAGCTGATATAAACACTTCATGAAATAATTACATGCATGTCTTTTGCCCTCAAGACATGCAATTAGTTCATAGATTTGAATTATAGCAAACTAAAAGTAATAACTAGCTGTCTCAATAATTAAGCTGATGTTTGGCTTATAGTGATAAATTAACTAACTTTTGATCGAAAACCAAATTTACCATAACATCTAATTAAATGCAAACATATAAATTATGAAAGTAGAAAATGCTTCCTGTATAAACTGGACAGACTAGATCTACCTAGTTACTTAGCAAGTATACTTCCTGCAGAGAGTGGATGTATATAAGGAGTGTCACTGTAGCTAGAATTTACTTGCAATTGTAGGTATCATCATGAACAGGCTAACTCTGTTTGTTCTTCTCCTTGCTATCATTCAAGTGCACTGCAACCCTGCTGGTAAGAATTTAACAACTTATGGAACATAGCACGGTGAGCTTTTTACTTTCTTAATTTTACAGCTTCTAAAAGAAGTTGGGATGGTCCAGGACCACTAAAAGATGAGAGTAAGTGATTGTATGTACATTTATACTTAATATGATGTACTTATTTGTAGATAAGCATGATTCTCAGCTGATGGATGCTACAGGCAAAGAAGAAGATAAGGAAGAAATCAATCTTGACCTTGGTGATGTTGATGAGGATGAAGACAAAGAAGGTGACAACAAAAATGACATAAAAGATAATGATGACAGTGGAAAAGATAAAGATGATAAAGACAACACAGATGATGAGGATGATAAAGATGATAATTGATAATTTTAAAAGTGATCTTGAAGAATGTAAGTATATACAGTCTATTACAACATATATTTAAATTATATTGCACTGGCAAATAAAATATCTCAAGCACCTGCTAACTTCAGTAAGTTAACAGTATAATCTAACTATATGCCATGACAATGGTAGGTGAAGAGTATGGTAGTAGTGAAGATGTTATAGAGGGAGACATCAAAATGACTCCAGAGCAGGCTGCACTCTTCAAGCGTGGTGGATGGGATGAGTTAGTCAATTCAGAAGCATGGCTCCGTAACCATGGCAAGTGGTCAAGGACTATCCCATACACAATTAGTGGAGTTGGTTAGCAGTTTCAATTGTTTTATAAAATTTATTTTTGATGGTGTAGCTACTAGAGAAAGGAATGCTTTTAACAAGTTTAATCAAAATGTTTCATGATCTTACATGCCTTCGATTTACTCCAAGACAGAGTTATAACCGTGATTATATTCAATTTGTTAGTCGAGGAGGGTAAGCAATTATGTAACAAGTTTTACTATTAAATAAAAAAAAATTAACTGTAGTTGTTGGTCCTATCTTGGTAAACAACCTCCAGGAAGATATGCCAGACCTCAGCTAGTCTCATTAGCTAGTGGTTGCTATCTTGCTGTCCCTGCTCATTAGATAATGCATGCACTTGGACGATTTCATGAACAATCACGAGCTGACAGAGACACATACGTCAGAATAATAACTGGAAATATAAGTATAGACATGCATGTACATGCACAGATTGAAATTGACTTTTTTCTGTATATTAGGAAGTGGATATGCAGGAAATTTTGTCAGACGAACTACTTCTGACAGCCAATCTCTACCATATAATTATCTTTCATTGATGCATTATGGTAGAACTACTTTCAGTAGAAACGGTCAACCTACAATTCAACCAAAACCTTATTCATTCATCACTATTGGCCAGAGAAACAGGTTGTCAATGTATGATGTACAACACATTAATATTCGATACTGTCCAGGTAATTATACAAACATTTAGCGTTAATTTTGAGCACTAAAATTAATAGAAAGAGCTCTTAGATTAGTTGGAGGCAGAGGATCATTTGAAGGAAGAGTTGAAGTGTTTTGGAATGGACAGTGGGGAACTGTCTGTGATGATTCATTTGGTAGAATGATGGTCGTGTAATTTGCAAGTATATGGGTTTCCCTGATGTTGTTGCAACATACCATAGAGCTCGATTTGGGCAGGGAACTGGTCCAATAGTAATGGATGACCTACGTTGTGCTGGTAATGAGTACAGCCCCTTTGCATGTCCTATGAGGACTATTGGTACTCATAACTGTCGTCATTCT